ATCTAAAATTTTTTTGGATAGCACATAGGCCTCTATCTATCTATTTGGCCCCCTCCCCTAGAATCCCGTGGATTTTCCACGGGTCCTGCTAGTGATATATATTGTACATGTACATGTACATAGTAGACAATTAGACATGTACCCTAAAAGTATTAGAAGCACCATAGAAGTACAAGTGGTAGTAGTAGTAGTAGTAGTAGTAGTAGTAGAAGTAGTAGTAGTAGTAGTAGTAGTAGTAGTAGAAGTAGTAGTAGTAGTAGTAGTAGTAGTAGTAGTAGTAAAGTAGTAGTAGTAGTAGTAGTAGTAGTAGTAGTAGTAGTAGAAGTAGTACATGTAGGGGACTAGAAGTAGGAGTAGTAGAAGTAGCAGTAGGGGTAGCAGTAGGAGTAGTAGAAGTAGTAGTAGTGGTGTTTGATGAACAATTCAAAATAATTTTAAGCCAGTTTCTCACAAAATACATGTACATTTTAAATTTACAGATGTCATAATCACATCATCCGCTGATTTTCATTGAAAGCTGACCAATATTTCTAATTTTTCAATCAGTCTCTTGACTCTCGGTTAATAGGCTTTATGACTGAAAGATTGAATCTAAGACTCTCTCCCAGGATATTTTTGTATCTGAAAATAAAAGCTACTCCGTAGCCACTGTCATATTTTCTGATCCCTCAGTCAAAAGCCATGATCCCAGCTAAATGTATTTTGTATGGAATATTGTCCACATAGTAATCTTGTGAGATTTTACCAATGATAAGTGACTCCCTACATGTATTTCAATCAGGCAGATTGTTGAATGAAAAATCCATAGCATTCAGTGTGAGTGTATTACAAATATGCACTGCCAACACGGGAACTCCTGGCAAGGCCAACTTTGAACACAGGGACCCAGTTTGAAGGGAAACAACTCTACATCATGTACAGTCATGGGCTAGTAACTCCATGGTAAAGTCAATCAGAACGGTTGTCAGCAAGGTCAACAAACTTTCTTCCACTTTCTCTCTCTCTCTCTCTCTCTCTCTCTATATACCTGGGCCCAAGGTCAACAAACTTTCTTCCTCTTGATCTCTCTCTCTTTACCTGGGCCCTGTCTAATCTACATGTACATGTATATGATAAGAAATTGCATCAGTCTTTAAATACTGAGAGTCAAATGCGCTGCACGGTCTGCACCTACATGTAGCACAGGGTACATGGTACTCTACACTAATTATGTGGCATCATACATGTAGTTTGGTCCAAACATTTCAACTCTCATTGGCCCAAATTCACATAGGAGGTTTGTCGATAAACCAGGTTTGTAAAAAACGTGTCAAAACGCGTCATATGACGTACATAAACCTCGGTTTGTCGACAAACCTCCTTTGTGAATTCGGGCCTCTGAGTTTCTGGTCAAATTTCAAATGTGAGGGCATTTGAATAGCAACCCTTTTCACAGGGCATTTCTATTGATGCATGTGGCCAAACTGTTGTATGGGTAAAAAGAATTGTAACAAAGGCCAACAAATTCTTTTCACTTTTAACAGAACTCAACCTACTAATGGTCAACAAATCTTTTCCCTCTCTCTTTATTTGCACTAATATCATTAGGCCAATTACCGTAAAACAGTCTGAAAGGAAAGGTGCACAATGAATACTATCGGTGATAGAGCAGAGATCTATTAAAGTGTTTCTATTTTTAGAAATTTAGACCTACCACTGTGTCTTTCAAAAGATTATGTGACCCCACATACAGTGTACACCAGAACTATAGAACATCATATAACTAGGCGCCTCTTTGACTTTCTTTTTGAACGATAACTTGATAAAGTACCCAGGACCAGGTCCTGATCTAGTCTGATTGTTGTACCATACACAAATCCTTTAACTGGTCGGGGCTTATCGTGAGCAGCACTGATGATCGGCCAGCTGCCATGTCAATTGATGTCTTCAACATTAGTCTATTAATACAGTGTATGACGTTTCTTTAAAACGATGCCACTTTCTGATACGTATGCATAAATGACAAGGGCTTTCTATTCGCCATGTCACGCACCCACAAGTCCATTCATTGTGGCATTTCTAAAGAAACCTGACAAAAATTTTTCCACAAGTCATTCACACCATACATGTCATGTACACGTAAACATGTACATACATGTACATAGAGACCTACAAAGAAACATATTTTTGAAACTTGAGTCCTAACTGAACTCATAACCCCGCAATATTCAGTACAAGATTTCCTCTATAAAATGTTCAGTTCAGTACAGGTACTGTACATGTACATGACCCATAATGTACAAGTCATACATGTGTACTGCATCCACTTACAGAATACAGATTACAGATTTATTTAAAGAACTTCTATTGAACCACTCGCTCGGCTCTGTCAAAAGTTTGTTGCCCCGGTTCTGCATGAAAGGTCACTCAATTTTAAAGAGGAGTGCATGAAGGTCTTCAAACGTGACTCAATACTCCCACCCCCATAATCCACTCCCACCCCCATAATCCCCTCCCACTAAAGTACTTTAATAACAAAATGAAAGTTTGCAGTCTGTGTATGGACATGTGTAGATTTACTAGGTTGGCACTAAAGAAATTTGAAAGTGTTTATCTGACATTTTACACTGTAGTGATTAAACTTTTCTGTGTAGCTGATGTTCGGGGAAACCCTTTTATAGCAGGTTGAGCTGTGAGAAAGAAGAAAGTTTTATAGATTTTAGTGAAAGCTGGGAAGAAATTAGTCAAGTCACAAGTTAAAGAAAGTTGTGAATGTTTAAAAGACTTAAAAATCCCACCAAAGTACTGTATTGCAAAATATGCAATTTTCTGTTTTACTTTGTCTCATTTGAGGTGAGAATTCCCTATATTACACTGTAAGATATTAAGAATGTACATGTACTGTACAAGCATTTTTACATTTCAGATGCAGCTTTACCACTGGTGGTCACTATGTTTCACTTCAGCAGTTTACATTTACAAGTATAAAAAACCTTCTTTCTATCAGTTTTCCTTCCAATTTTCATTGATCATTTCCATGACTTTCTGCTTCCTTCAGAGTAGCTTGCTGTTAATTCTGGGTTGAATTTCCCTTTAATTTTCCAACAAAAATATAATATTGAAATATTGAAGAATCAGTTTAAAAGATTGTGGGTAGAAATATTATGTACCGGTATATGGAATTCCTTTGGAATACCATAGGCACAAGATGGAAATGACTAAATAAGGCAAATTAAAACTAACTCCTTCTATCTAATCAAGATTAGTCACAGATGAGAATGTACAGTACATGTGTATATTTACGGTACAGTACATGTATAACATGTTGAAATTCCATACTAGGTACCTGCACACAAGATACCCAAGGCCAAGAGATCAATTTATATAACAAATTGTTCATAAAATCTCTTTTGCCCATGAAATACAGAAGCTTAAAACATGTTAAGAACTTCAGATTGCATGGCTTTCTGGAATTTGTTACTTTATTGTCTAGACTTCCTTAGATTGAAAAGATTATTCTTCATTTCATGCCATCTCTCTGTTGTTGTCCCTCCGCTTTTCGGAGATCAGCGAGTTTATTGCATTTGAAATACAATTAGACTACAGTACATGTCTTCTAGCATTCAACTCAGTTATTTGCAAAGTCAATTATTGAAAATTTGTCTTTCTTCCCTATTTTGGAGTACATATTATGTAATGTTCTGTGAACATTCCTGCGAATCTGCAACTTTGGAATATAAAAGAGAAGTACAAAACATAGAAAGAAAGAAATTAAGTAGCTTTTCATGAACACCTTTTGTGACAACAGCCCGGAAAGAGGTACATGTACATGTAGTGCATATGAATTGATGATGCTCAATAAACATGGGCTACATGTATAGTCTATAAATGTAGCTGTATGTGTACCGTATGTACCGTACATACCGCGCATGCGTACTTCTCTTCACTATGTTGAATCAATGTGGGATGAATTGGGTTAGGACGAGGAATCACCCTTTTTCCCATCAAAGACTTCTTAAAATTATAATTTCAAGTGGTTGGACGGATGCCCAGAGGAGTCGAAAAACATTATAAGTGAAAATTGTAAATACTACTTCTTTACATTTCGACCGCGGAGTACCACTTTTCCAGCAACGATCCAAGCTAGACCAAATTTTCTGTCTCTTTAGTTCGTTAAGTCTCTTATTTGGGTAGGGTCGGCTTCTCTCTTTAGAGACAGAAACCGACCATAGGTGTTTACTTTCAAACACCATGGCCATTTACGGCCATATGTTTATGCCCCCAAAATTCCCCAAAATTTCATTTTACCTCATGCATATCCGATTTATTCTATTTTGAAAATTAGGCCTAGAAGTCTAGGCTATTAATATACATACGTCGGATCCACTTACCAACTTGACTGAATAAATCTGTATAATGGTCCATTTTTAGGAAATTATGGGTCAAAATCTACATCCATGTTAAAAATCTTGCAAGCCGTAGTTTAAACTCTCGCTGCGCATGACGTCATCTAAATATCATCCCTTCTAGTCTACGGCTACGCCGAAGGCAAAATGATTATGAAGGAAAAACTGTGCGCGAGCTACAAGTTGGTAATGACGTTATCACAGTTTTTCTTCATAATCAAGACTAGAAGGGATGGATCGCGTAAATATTCACTTCTGAATGACAAACGCCTATAAACTAAAACAACAACAACAACATAAAAATATGGCCGTAAATACTAAATGGCCATGGTGTTTGAAAGTGAACGCCTATGGTCGGTTTCTGTCTCTATAGGTCTAGGCATAGAGAGGAGCCGATCCTACCCAAATAAGAGGCTTAACGAACGAAAGAGACAGAAAATTCGGTCTACGATCAAGCCTGGATTTGATGAATATTTTTTGTTCAATCCGAAGGCAAAGCTTGCAAAGGAGAAGGATTTATGTTTTTTTTAATATCCGGACACAACTCGACACCCAACACTCATCATACTTAATTCATAACGCTTGCACTTGATTGATAGATCCAGTGATACTTACACGTAGAATATTCCAACAAAATGAAAGAAAACCTGTGCCACTGCTAACGCAAGGAATACGATAGCCAAACCCACGGCCAGGTAGTCCCCGTAGGTCGCGTCGGGAAAATACACCATCATTGTCTGCGAATAAAAGGCGATTTTTGAAGAAGATGTCCGCAACAAGACGGGGAATCCCACTCGACTACCGCTGGAACAATCACCGCTTAACAACATGACGATAATCCCCACATTTTATGGGGAAATGTGCCGAAATTAGGTGGCAGCGCCGGAATGCTTACATGCAGTTTCTGATTCTACTTGAGATCTAAATGAATGAAGAACGGAGATCCACGATCACATAGATTAGATAGGTATTCTCCGCGGATATCGTAGTAGAATAGGCTAGGCAGAGCCAGCCGTTCAGATAAATTATAGAATGCGATGGCCGTTATTTCAGTGTCACGAAGAGAAGGAGTGACCGTTATCATAATAACCGCCTAGCGCATTGAAAAAATAACTGGATGGGTGGGGCTAGCTCTCGAGAAACCCTATCGCGCTTGCAGAACGTACTATCAAGAAGTTACTAGCCACTATTACACCAAAAGTGACTTTTATGTACCGGTAGCTATATAGATCTAGATTTTTTTGGAAAAACTATTATCTCATTACCGCTCAAGTTTTTTTAACGAATTGTCTTGCAACATCGTTTAATTCGCCTTTAGACATTACTTCTTATTGCACGTCACAATGAGTAGTATTGAAAAATAAAGTTTTGTTAGCCCTATAGTAGGCCTGTAGTAGTTACCCGGGAGTAGATCTAGTTATTGTATTTCATTCAGTCATTCATTTAAAAAGTTTTAAAAAATGACACATTAATCTATCCATTCACCCAATTATATTGATATTTATTTACTTATTTATTTATTCATTAATTCATAATTTATTAATTTATTTATTACTTTTACTTATAAATAGCCTTTTTTTAATGGCACCTGATTTGGGGTATACGGGTTATCACGCATTACAGCTAGTTGAGCTATGCTGCATAGACTTGAGCTTGACACAACTTCACAAGACAAGGTTATATTCAGGGACGATGCATTTTCCCCTAACCTCTTCAAATGGGTCGATTTTTGTTGATCGGGATGCCGCAAAGCTAAACAGCACCGTCAGTATGTTCTTAACTGCGGCCGCCACGATCTGACTTCTAGTTACTCTAATTTCAGTTACTAGTAATTCAATGATATCTCTTGGCCGAAGATCCGTTTTCAAACTTCTAAACGAAGCGAGTATAGAGAGCCAAACACTATTGCAACAGAAACTGTATTTTCGAAAAATAAACTCAAGGGCAATTTCTATATCTTATTTATAGGCTATCCCATGTATATAATGTTCGCAGAGGCGGATCTAGCTTATAGGGGGTGACCCAATGACGCGTGCCGCGTAGCGGCGAGGCGATTTTCTTCTCTCTCTTTTTTTTTTTGGGGGGGGGGTGCTATTTTGAACCCCCGTTTTCCTGGCATCTACTAACACAATAGAGACCATCAAATGCAGTGCACGATAACGTCTTTTTAAATCAAAATAACAGTTTAATACACAGTTATATCCATGCAGAGTTATCATGTGTTTGGTTACTGTTATGAGTTGAATATCTTCTCACAATATTCTCCAGTGTGCGTTCTTTGGTTGTGGTCTCACTCTAACTTGATGTCGTTTTTCTATGCACATCTCATTTTCACTACTTGGCAGCCCAATGGGGGGGGGGGGGGCAGTAGATCCGCCACTGGTTCGGATTAGGTCATTGTCATGTTCGCGCATTTCAATAGTTGACGCAAGAGGCTTTTGAAATTGCCTCAGGTTGCTTTATTCCAAAAAATAGCTACATTTGCGATCTTTGTATTTTAAAAGATCATTTTACGGTAACGGTTGTTTTTGCACACACACAAATAAAGGAAAACCGCGATATTATGAAACCTTACATCTAATCCATGAGTATCAAAACGCTCTTCAACTGTGTAAAGTGTCCTCTTTGAGTGACCGCAGAGAATGTCTGTGCCTCAAATTTGCAAAGAAGCTGCTCAAGCCTGGGCAGTGGGCACTGGCGTACCTATGGGGGGGGGGGACAGGGAGGCAGAGTGCCCCCCCCCCCCTGACGGGCTCCAGGGGGGGGGGGAAAGAAAAAGGGGAAAGAAAAGAAAAGAAAGGAAAGGAAAGAAAAAGAAAAAAGGAAAAGGGAAGAAAAAAGGAAAAAGAGAAAAAAAGGAAAAAAAGGAAAGAAAAAAGGAAGAAGAAGAGAAAAGGAAGAAAAAGGGAAAAGAAAAGGAAAGGAATAAAAATGGGGAAATTAAAAAAAAAAAAGACCATGGCCGTACGCACCAGGGGGGGGGGGCAGTTGACCCCAGATATTTTGAAAATGTACAGTTTTTTTCCTGAAAATGTAGTGTAGGCCTATACCAAATCCTTCAATTCTACTTTTGAAAATGCAAAAGTACCCTCATGACCAGTTCGGTCGCTCGTACTCCCTTCACTCCTCTTGCTTTTGAGATTGTTCGAAAACTTTTAACGCATCTTTCCCCCTCCCCCACCAGAAAAATATTCCGCATACGGCCCTGAAAAATTAAAACAAATAAAAATAGGAAAATATAAGTGATATAACAAATTCGAAACTCTTCGCTGGCGCGAACTGCTTGCTAGCCTATTTTGTATTAATTGTTTTCACTTGCTCGTCCCCCTGAAAAAAGAAAAGGATTAGTATTGCCTAATACAATTGTGCTTGCCCCGACGGGCCCCGACCTGCAACCATGGCAACAATAACACACAATATATGTACCAAATGTTACTAAAAGAGACTGATTCATTTTTCTCGCTCGCTACACTCGCTCGCGAATAAAATGAATAGACATTGCTTTGGAAACAATAATGTGCCCACCCTTGACCTGCAACAATATCATTAAAAATGGAAGAGTTTTTTCGCCCTCTCGCCAAAAGGAATTGAATCGCGTTAAACGCGATTGCGTCCATCCTGACCTGCACCAATAAAAACAAGTTTATTTATTAATTTCTATTAAAAGAGCATTTGTTTTGTTTTTTTTGCTTGCTCGCTATGCTCGCTCGCCAAAATGGAATTGACACCGCTAACGTGCCCGCCCCAACCTGCAACAACCAGTTAATAATTATGTACCAAACGTTATTCAAAGAAGTTTTGGTGTGCTCGTGCTCGCCAAAACGGAATTAACATCACCTTAGACATGATTGTGTAAGCCCTGCCCTGTAACAAAAAAATCTGAAATTTATGAACCAATTATCATTACAAAAATTTTGCTCGCTCGCCAAAATGGAAATAACACCGCTTTTAATAATCACGTCCCTGACATGGAACAATGAACCCAAGTTTTATGTACCATATTTTCCCTATAAAAGAGAAGTGATTTTTTTTTCGCTCGCTAGCTCGTGGATTATGTGCCCACCACTAACCTGCTACAATATCATTAAAAAGAGAAATGTAGGGGGTTGCCTGCCCGCCAAAATGGGATTGACATTGCCTTAAACACGATTGTGCCCGCCCCCTACCTGCAAAAATGAAACAAATTTTATATAGCAATTCATTGAGAGAAAGATGTATTTTCGCTCGCTAGCTAAAATGGGTATAAAATCACCCTAAACACAGTATTGTTCCCGCGCCCTGCATGGGACAATATTGAACCAAGTTTAAGTGGCAATTATTAAAAAAGAAGTGATTTTTTTTTCTTGCTCGCTACACTCGTTTGCAAAAAAATGAAATTAACGTCGCTAACAAGTGAATCCCACCCCCAACTTGCAACAATGCCAGTTTATATACCAAACGTTACTTAAAGATTTTTTTTGCTCGCTCGCTCGCCAGAAGTGAAAATTAGCATCGCCATTTTTGTTTGTTTCGGTCGCTTGCCCCCCCCCCCCCCCTGACGGAGTACCCCAGGTACGCCACTGACCCTGGGTCAAAGTTTAGTCATTGGCTGCCCCAAACACGTGGGGACTCCCATTCTCGAAATCTGAGAAATAAAAGCAAGCTCACTGAAATGTCATGTAAAATGACACGGTATAGAAACAGTCCGTTGCCATATCTAGTCAGATTGTTAAACGCTCATAGTACTGAATAATTACAAGTTTCACCTTCGACGAACACATTCATTGTTCTCTACTACATTCACTCTCTCAATATCCCTACTTCACGGGTGGCCAACCTTTTAGAGCTCGCGGGCCACAGCTAACGATTGGGATAACTTGGCGGGCCATAGGTAGTCTTCTCCCCCCCCCCCCCAAAAAAAAAAACACTCATGTAATACGTGTACACACCTGCGATTTTGCAAAAAACAAACAAGGAAACAACAAAATCAGTGAAGAAAAAAAAAACGGCGGGAGAAAAGGGCTGCAAGTTTCAAGACAAGTATGGCATTTCAAACATATTTCTCGATTCACAACATTAATTTGTATATGTACAAACTGAAATTAACTCGGCGAGTGATGTTCATGCCCAGGGGGATACTCAGAGTTGGCTTGGACGGGTGTGTGCCGCTCAAGCCTCGAAACCCCTACCCATTATTAGGGGTCATTTTTCTCGAAGAAAAGACCCATTTCCAGAATTTTCGGGTCTTTTGGGGGTGTTTGCATGGCAAACGCCCGAAAATTTCCAATTTTTATCTCGAAGAAACGGACCCATTTTTAATGGAATTTTTGTTAGAAGTGGGACCCATGTTTATGGATTTCTTGTGTGACAAAGTCACCCATATGTGAATACCCCCCCCCCCCCCCCTCCGGGTGTTAATGTCGTTAATGTAATGTAATGAGAGGAAATTTTAGGAGTTTTGTATCAACCACGTAGCGATTCAATATGTTGTGAAAGAGAGATAGCTGTTTGTAAATGTTTAATCCTATGTCATGGGGGCCCCATTTCATTTATGAACTATTTTTATTATCACTTCTTCAATGCTCCGCGGGCCGCACCAGAAAAGCTCGCGGGCCGCGGGTTGGCCACCCGTGCCCTACTTTCTCCTCTCTGTCAGTGCTGTGCTGCGGAGCGGGGAGACCCTCTTCATGGCTTCCTTGTTCTCTAGCTCTCTGTCGTGTTACTCTCACTCTGTGTCTCCCCTCCCTCTCTCTCTCTCTCTCTCTCTCTCTCTATCTCTCTCTCTCTTTCTCTCTCTCTCTCTCTCTCCCTCCCTCTCTCTCTCTTTCTCCCTCTCTCTCTCTCTCTCTCTCTCTCTCTCTCTCTCTCTCTCTCTCTCTCCTCTCTCTCATTCTATCTCTCTTTCTCTCCCTATCTCTCTCCCACCCTCACCCTCTCTCTCTCTCTCTCT